ATGGATGGAAATATGCAAATAGACTAGAGTATGCTTGCTTTATGCCTGAGTGTGTACATGTGCTTGTTTTATGCCTGTGTGTGTATGTGTGCTTCTTTTAAAATCTGTAAAACTTGTAACTTCCGATTGCAACTCCTCTGGAAAAGTACAAACATGTGGTTAGCTGCCACTCAGTGGAGGTCAAAACCAAAACCTCAGTGCCATCTTTACTACAGACACCCACATGCGCTGGTCCCACCAAGGAACTAGTCCTGTCTAATATACTTTGGCTTACAAGATATTTCTTTTTTTTATGAGGCAGAGTTTGCATTTATTCAGAAGAATGTTTAACATAGATTTAACAGAGTTAATAGAAAGAGAAGTGCTTGGGAAAGAATAGGACATATACAAAGTATATGAGCTTCTCAAGAAAACCAATCATGCTCACTTGTCTTCACAATCACGATATTTGTGTTTTAGGTGAGTTCTAAAGCTCAATCTTTGAAGATTTGCTAAGTAATTTAATTGAGCTTACAAGATATTTCTATAAAACTTCATTCTGCCTTCTCCAAATTAGGATTATACTCTAGGTCTCAGGACCCCAGCTCAAAACTAGAGACTAAACTATCCTAATCTTTTTGCCTCTACTAGTATTAGTAGGCTGTAACTGATTGGGTAAACTGTATCTCCAAATTTACCTTATATGTCTGATTTAGATATACCCGACAGGTAAAGGTACCCTGATCCTCGAGTGCCTTTACAGATCTGACAGTATGTCATTTAAAGAAAGAGCTTTCTATGATACAGAGACATGCAAGCTCCTGCAGCATCCTGTAGCTCCTCCAAGAAGATACACGGTTGCAGAAGACCTTACTCCTAGAGGCTTGCTTTGGGATGTGGCAAGTCCCGGTACACAGAAAACAAAGCTGCCTTTCATCTCATCAGCTGCCTGGACCCTGCCTGGAATGGATGACAGTAACACTAGGGGAATTGATGAGCTCATCCTGCCAAGACAGGTAGAGCAAACCCTACCCCCACAGGAAAGTCTGTCAGGCCTCCTGCTGTGGCACAATGGTCTTTTATCCTGTCACTTGTATTATTTTTAATAAAACGCTGATTGGCCAATAGGCAGGCAGGTAGTATAGGCAGGGCAACGAGAATTCTGGGAAGAGGGCAGTTTCAGTGTCTAGTTGTGACCCAGCCGCAAAGGAAGCAAGATGTGACTGCCTTGCCTCGCCAAGAAAGATACTAAGCCACGTGGCCAACAGAGACAAAAATTATGGGCTAATGTAAATTAGAAGAATTAGTTAATAAGAAGAGCCTGAGATACTGGGCCAATCAGTTTCTAACTGATGTAGACCTCTGTGTTATCCTTTGGGACTAAATGACTGAAGGACCGGGTGAGGCAGAAACCTGCCAACAGCTTCCTGGGCTTCGCAGCTGAAGGCAGGTACTGCTTCTAAGACTGCTGTTTGCCAAAGACCACAGAGAGACTTGGGATTGCCTGCGTAGATGAAAACAGCTGTCTCACTTCTGCTCCTTTGTTTATCTCTCTCAGAGCTCTCTGATGGCATTTGATGACTTAAGGTACTGGCAGCTCAGTACTTCATTATTTAAGTTTCCCACTAAAAGTACAGACAAGTGTGCCTCTTTCACAGGCTTCAGAGGCCAGGATTATCAGGTTTCAGATATAACTTCTGAGGTTCAGAGTTTTCAATTTCTTCTAATTGCCTTCTAAAATGTTCATGCCTTTCAACCTAAAGGCATAGCCTTTTCTATAACTCCAAGATGCATAGCAATCTGTCCCAGCTATCTACAGAGAGATACCTGCAGGCTCCTGGGAGAAGTTCTGCTGCCGTATCAAGAAATCTGGTCTGGTGAGAATTATCAGTCTCCAGAGGCTATTTTGACCCTGCTCATTTTCTGTTCCAGCTGTCTTACAGATAGATACCCGCAGGTTCCTGGGAGAAGTTCTGCTGCTGTATCAAGAAATCTGGTCTGGTAAAAACTATCAGTCTCCAGAGCCTATTTTAACCCCACTCCTTTCCGAGCATATTTTGCAAGTTCACCCCTGCCTGGGCCGAGGCCTACCTGCAGAGAGTTCTCCAGGTAATGCCAGCACCTGCACCAGTTCTGGGGACTTTACCATTGGTACCACCTCTCCAGGCTCAAATAGGCACCTACGAGCAACTAAAAATCTGGTTTTAAAGGGCATATCTGCTCTCATGTCAAACCCATTGACCTGTGCCTCTCCTGGACAACCAGGGCACTTATCCATCCCATTCTTTCCAGCAGTTAGCCACCCTTCCCATGGCTAGCCCCATTCATTCATAACAATCTATTTTTTCTCCTAACAACCTGTCTTCTCATCTCCCTCAAAAAAACAGATGCCTAAGGTCTCCAGAATGGCAGCTAACCAGATGCCTCTCCACCCACACCTCCCACTGAGTGTGAGCCCACCAACTCCTAACTCTCTCCCACCCAGCCTTGTCCCATGCCCACAGGAAGTAGCCAGACTTGAACCGGTGCCCCATACCCAACGAGTCTGGAGCATTTGGGGGAAGCACCACTCCAGCCCTTGGCATCCATATATCCAAAGAGTCTGGAATCGTTTGGATGGAGGCTACACCCCAACTCCCCTCCCCTGGAGCTGCCTGAAAGCCCACCAAAAGCGTCTCCACCCCCGAGGGCCGCCCTCGTGGCTTCAACTTCCCCTGGGACCACTCAGGAATGCTTTGCTCAGAATAAATCTGGATTTATTAATTCGGTTTGACTGGCTTATTACATCAGCGGTAGCAGAGTCCCATTAAGAAGGAATTTAAACTTAACACTCTAGTCATAAGATTTACCTTTAGCCTCATAGAAGCCATGGAAATATAGACCCTACACAAAGAACTCCAGGCAACTGAGTAAAACTAGGAATAGAAGAGGTGGTCCTCTCCCAGAGGGAAAGCACACCAATTGGTTGTCCAGTGCCAAATGGTCAGCCCTAAAATCATACATACAAATGACTTATATGAACTCAGCAGATTATATTTGGGAATATATGTATATACAGATACATATATGCATACAATAACAATTGATGAAAATCAGAGCAAGGAGAGCAAGGGGGAGTATATGGGACCCCTTGGATGGAGGAAAGAGAAATGAAATAAAATTAATACCTCAAAAATAACCAAAAGAACCAGGCAGTGGTGGCACACATATTTAATCCTAGCACTTGGGAGGCAGAGGCAGGTCTATCTCTGTGAGTTCTAGGCTAGCCTGATCTACAGAGTGAGCTCCAGGACAGCCAGAACTACATATACCTTGTATAAAAAACAACAACAAAGAGGTAGGCCATACCACTGATGCTTGTATAGCTTACTTACATTTCTGTAGAAATGTACATTTTTTATATTTGAACTAGCCATTAACTTAAAAAAGAAAACAATTAAAATTAAATCAGGCCCATTGTTCACCGCTTTACAAAAAAATTAGAGACATCTGAATTTCAAAAAGGAAATAAATAGATGTCTTTTTTCCCCTAGAGTCTCAAATGCCCCCAATTGATCTCAAATGTATTCTGTAGCCAAGGTTACGCTAAAGCTCTGATCTTAATGCCTCTGCTCCCCAAGTTCTCAGATTACAGGCATTACAGGACTGAAAAACACCATAGCAGCCTCATGTAGTTCAGGGGCTCTAACCCCGAACTAAGGACACTACCACCTACCTAAGCTACAACCCCTGCCAAAATGGGTGTCTCTCTGACTGTGGCCAGACTAGACAGAAAAATTCTCATGTTCTCAGCACTGTGCCCGCAACAGTTTCAGGATTGAGAGTAAAGACAAGCAAAGGCCACGAAGCATATAAGTGCAGCTTTTGTATATAAGCAGCTATCAGAACTGTGAGGTAAGTCTTTTTCTGAGAGAAGAATTCTTTAGGGATGGTTGGGAGCTATTTAATTTTTTCTTTTAGTTTTTTTTTTCTTCTGAAACAGGGTTTCTTTTTGTAAAAGCCCTAGCTGTCCTAGAACTTGCCCTGTAGACCAGGCCTGCCTCGAACTCACAGACCAGGCCTGCCTCCACCTCCTGATTGTTGGGATTAAAGGCTTGAGCCACTACTGCCTGGCAGGGGGATTCTTACTTCAGTACCAGGGCTCCTGAATATGGCCAGCTCAAAAATGGAACTGACAGGAATACACTGGTGTTTTAGGACCCTTTCTAGTCTCAAAGTGACCAGAACATGCTGGGGAAAGCTGGCTGCCTTGGAACCAGTCTGACCACATGCCAGTGAAGGGGCTGCTTGACGCTGAGATGGAAACCAGGCACAAAGGCCTGCTCTTGACACTTTGATCATTCACAGAAGATGTTAGAAATGCTTTCAAGAGAAAGGTGAGGAACCTCAGCACAGGTGTGACTGTTCTCACACTTTTGCCAGCGCTCATGAAGACTGGACAGTACTACTAAGCTCCTCCTCAGTAGCCCCGGTGAAGATGAGCCCACCGATCTGCCTGCTGAACAGCCCCAGGTCCTGCAACCCTGCCCAAGCTCCTGCAAAGTCAGAACATGGAAGCAAGGCAGGATCTAACTTGCTGTGGAAGTCCAAAGAAGAGCCTCCCAGATAAACACATTAGCTAAATATCCGTTCTTGGCCAAGTACCAGGGATCCAATGTGGAAAACTAGACCAAGAAATGTCCACACATTTCTGCAAGACCTCCAGAGCCCCTCTCGGATCTTTTCTTACTCCCGGGAAATCAATTACGGGATTAGACGGCCACCCATTCCCTAGGAAGATAATTCATCAAGGCCAGGTGACTCAGTTGAGATACAACTTGGAAGGCCCCTTCTACACCCTGCTTGCTCAGGTGCCATCCCTTCCCCGCAAACACAGCCTGTTCATTGCCGCTCTAAACTGTCCTCAGTTCCGCTCAGCCCATAGCAACAGGAGTCAACCGGAAGCAAGGATGGCCGGCCCATGATTGGATACAAACTAACGTGGAGGTCCAGGGTGCCAGACCGGAAGAGAGCCCTGTGGTTGAGAACGGCAGGGAGCTCCACCTCCGACTCGTCAGAGGCACAACGGACAGCAAGCCGCAAGCCGCAAGCCGCAAGCCGCAAGCCGCAAGCCGCAAGCCACTGCGACGCCGGCATTCCGGAAGGACATGGAGCGTCAAAACTTCGATTACCTGCTTTACATGGGACATGATGACAACTGGGATGGTCAGTGCGTGCTAGGAACGGTGGGGTGGTGCTGTCCATAGGGGGAGGAGCGTCCACAGAGGCGGCTGGGCAGGCCCCGTGCACTGGCGTCGCCTGTAGGCACTCGACTTCACGGGACATCGCAGCATCCGAGGCCCTGTCACCTCGGTGCCCTTTCTGTTTCCCACTTCCAGAGCCTGAGGCACCGAGGGTCTTGCAGGCTGGAGAGGGAAGAAATGAGGAAGCCAGTGGATCGGGCCAGGCTGGGCACGGAGCCGCAGCCGCTGCAGCAGAAGCAGAAGGAGCAGGAGAAGGAGCAGGAGAAGGAGCAGGAGAAGGAGCAGGAGAAGGCCCCTCAGCTGCTGGTGCCGCAGGCCCCGTGGATGACGGGAACCAAGATGGCGCTGCTGGTGGCCATGGCCAGGAGAATGAGCTGCAGCCTCAGGAGCCAGATCGCGGGGCCATGGGAGACAACGAGGCTGTGCCAGCGCCAAGGCCTAAACGCAGCAGGTTTGCCCGCTGGCAACTGACTGAGCTGGAGACTGCTTTCCAGTCTGCTCACTACATCAAAGCAAAAGCAAGGTGAGCAGATATCTATCTGGCTTGGAGCATGTGGACCAGGGTTGTTGTTGCTTTTCCCCTAGTGCCCCTCTTACCCTCTATTTAAAATTATTTATCATTTTTTATTTTTATTCATTTATTTTATTGTGTGTTTGCCATGCCGTATGTACTGAGGTGTGAGGATAACTAGGGTCATCAGTCCTCTCTTTGCCATGTGGCTCTCAGGGTCGAATTCAGGTCCCCAGTTTAGCCGGCAAGTACCTTTTTCTGTTGACCTGTCTCCTCAGCCTCTCTCTTGCCCTTTTAAAACAAAAGTCACCTACGCCATCCAGGCCGCCAGACCCCGTCCTCAACCTCTGGCACTAGGGTTCTGGGGTGAGGGATGAGAACTAGGCAAACTGGGAATGAAGGTATTTTCATCTATTTAAGTGTATAAAACTGGGCAGTCTCTGTTGATATAAGGTCTTTTTAAAAAATTCCATACCTCTGGGCCTGGCAAAGTTGCTCAGTGGTTAAGACCATTTGCGGTTCTTACAGAGAGCCCAGATGCATTTCTGATACATCTGTGTGTCGTGTATTTCTTAAGTGGCATAAATATAGTTATTTCTCTCAAGTACTGTCCTTTTACCTCCCATTAGAATTTCTACCCTCTCCAAAAAATATATTCTCCATAAAAATATGATCCAATATTGAACGTGGTGGCTTCTGTAGCACTGGGTGGGCCAATCAGACTATAGCAGTGAGTTCCAGGCAGCCTGGGCTTCAGAGTGGTATGGTGTCTCAAAACAGGAGAAACAAAACTCATCTGTGATCTCAGAAATCAGGAGGGAGATGCAGGTCAATCAGAAGGACAAGATTGTCCTCAGTTAAGTAATGAATTCCAAGCCAGCCCAGTCTCTGTGAGTCCATTTATGCAAGAATCTTGGACATATTCTACCATGCCTGTGTTGGGTTTCTCCTGGATTTCCTGGGACAGGAGCTTCCTTTGTTGTTTAAGCTGAACTGGATCTCACAAGGAGCTTCATTCCCCGGCTTCCTTCACTGGGAGAATTCAAGCTTGGGCAGCCAATATTGTACAAAAAAAAAAAAAAAAAAAA